AGGTGATGAACTGGCCAAGCATGTCTCCAGACCTAAACCCTATTGAGCATCTGTGGGGCATCCTCAAACAGAAGGTGGAGGGGCGCAAGGTCTCTAACATCCACCAGCTCCGTGATGTCATCATGGAGGAGGAGTGGAAGACGCCTCCAGTGGCAACCTGTGAAGCTCTGGTGAACTCCATGCCCAAGAGGGTTAAGGCAGTGCTGGAAAATAATGGTGGCCACACAAAATATTGACACTTTCGGCTCAATTTGGACATTTTCACTTAGGGGTGTACTGGCTTTTGTTGCCAGCGGTTTAGACATTAACGGCTGTGTGTTGAGTTATTTTGAGGGGACAGCAAATTTACACTGTTATACAAGCTGTACACTCACTACTTTACATTGTAGCAAAGTGGCATTTCTTCAGTGTTGTTACAGGAAAAGATATAATAAAATATTTACAAAAATGTGAGGGGTGTATTCACTTCTGGGAGATACTATATGTATATAAAAGCAAATTACTATAACTGTATACATGCTGATGGTGACAGATAAATATATATATATAAAATGGTACGGAAACAGTAAGGAATTTTTACCAGTGTCAACCTACCCAGGTGGAATATGTAGTAAAGATGGATGTATAGAAAACCATTTGCAACACAGTGCGTATCTGAATATATATATATATATATATATATTTATGGAAATGTTGTGTATATGTATGTCATGATGTGGATAATAGTTTCTGTATGATTTGACTATTATCCACATCACGACATACACAAAACATTTCCATACACACACATATATATATTTCCTTACTGTTTCCATACCGTTTATATGTATATTTATCAGTCACCATCAGCATGTATACAGTTACAGTAATTTGCTCTTATATATAAATATATGTTATTTATGTATAACAACACAATTCTGTATTGTTTGGATCAGTACCCAGAGCCCAGACATATTTTTCACATTGTAATAATTGCAATATGGTTTAGCCTTTATTTTGTTTTAATTGTGCTTTTTGGATTCCTTCTATTGTGAGTATGTTAGGATAAAACTTCTACCCATGCATTTAATTCCTCCTCATTAAAATTCTCCCTTTTTTTTCTAGTTTTTTGTGTTTCCTCCTTTTATTTCTTCTTTTTTTATTCTTCATTTCTTCTTTTTTATTTCCTTCCTGTTCTATTTTTGCTATGAACACCTTCCCGGTCCTTTCTTCCCCTTTAAATTGTTAACTACATGTTTCCTGCTTCAATCCACGTCTCCCCCTGCTCCATACGGCTCTCTCTGTATAAAAGTTCTTCCTATGCTTGAAAAAGGAGCATGCTGGTCTTCGGATCCTGCGCATGCTCAGAAACGCTGTGCTTTGTTAACCCCTTATGAGCCTACTTATTACCATCTACATGTGAGTGGTTTTATTTATGTTCACCATTAAATACATCTTACAGTCTACACTTAGAGGCGCTGTGTTTCTCTTCTTGTCCACACAAGACAATCTTTAACCCTCAGAACATCTAAAAGCAGTTCAACTGAGGGGTGGGCACCACGCAAACTAAGGGATGCCTGCAGCTTAGCCCATTTTCAGCTGTGGTACTTTCACAATTTAAATGACAATTGCACAGTCATGCAACACTGTACCCAAATTAAATTATTTTTTTTTCACATAAATAGAGCTTTCTTGTGGCGGTACTTTATATTTTTTGCTAAATAAAATAAAGACTGAAAATTTGGAAATTGTATACAATTTTGCAAATGAATAATTTTTCTTCTTAAATTTAGGACAACATGTATTCAGCTACATTTGGTAAAAATAACCCAAATTAGTGTATACTATTTAGTCAGTATATATATATATATATATTATATATATATATATATATATATATATATATATATATATATGAGAATCGATCAATCCTGATGTACTGATGACCTACAGTATCTAACTTCTTGAGGCTGACAATCTCAGGACAGCACAAATGCCACCAAAATGTCCCCTTTTTGGAGAATAAACAGGTATTTATTAAGAGGCATGGCAAAATTTTTGAAGTTGTACTTTTTTGTCACATATTTTTGGAGAATGGAGAACTTACATTTTTTTTTCTTTCTTTTCAACATACTGTCACCAGTGCAGTACAGCATCATCATATAACTGCTGTGGCGGTGATCAGGGACTTTTCAACTTTTTTTTTCTTTTTCTTCCATACTGTGACCAAAGCAATACAGTGGTACCATAGTAACACTGTACTACTTTGGGGAGGTGATCAGGATTTTTTTAACTTTTTTATTTGCAAGCTTTGATTGCTTATATGATTGTTATAAGCAACCATTTTTTATTAATGGAATCCATCCAGTGTGCACTATTGTAATCAGCTGAGATTGGTCACAGCCAAACATGTGGTACAGATGGGCTGTAATTGGCCCTGTCTGTACCATGTGATCACTGTGACCAATTACAGAGATCAAAACAATAGTACACAATAAATGGATTTGAGCGGAAGCCATTCATTGTGTATAATTGCCATGTGATCTGTTGTGATTGGTCGCAGCGATCACATGGTACCGGCAGTGACCTGGTACACTAATCTCTCAACCTCTGGGTATGGTGGACTCAGTGGGTGACACATCGTGGTGCAGAGAGGCTAGTGGGGTGCGATCCTAGGGAGATGACCTTTGAGACCATAAGCTTGAATGATGGTCTGCCTGAGTCACCATGAGATGGTAGAATGAGAAGCCAGTGCACTCTTACAGGGTCCTTCCAGGAGTACGAAAAAGAAATCAGTTTTCCACGAAAAAAGCAGTAGATGACAGTCTATGTCCTGGAAATATGGAAACTACCATTGGCCAGACAGAAGTCCTGGGCATCAACACTTCTAGAAAACCAAAAAGGGTTCCTTGAAAGGTAAGGTGGAAAGCTCAGTCACTCACCTTGCAGAGATGATGGCTACAAAAATACCACCTTGTAGGAGACAGTACAAAGAGAATGTGTCAGGAATGGACTGGCCAGCAATAGTGGGGGACTCACCTGCCTTATGAGCTGCAGTACCAGGGCTGGCCAGCGGGTGCTCCCAGCAATCAGAGACTCAACCTTGCAGCCAGTCAAACACCTGGAACTGATTATACTGGTGTATTTAAGGGATGGCCAGACCTGCAGACTCTGCCTTGGTGTGTGTTTTTTCCTGGGCCCCGTATCCTGTTCCTGCATCCTGTTCCTGTCTTGTCGCTGACCCTGCCTGATCTGACCTCTGCTGACTTCTCCTGCTCTGACCCCGGCTCGTTCCTGACCATCCCTCTGCCTGACCCTCTGTACCACTCTGCCCGCTACCTGCTGAACCTGGCTTGTGACCCCGACCATTCTCCGCTTGCTCCCCCTGTACCTACCTGCCCGATTGATATTGACCAGGCCTGCCTGACGACGCTTGCATTGTATGTACTGTCATCTGTGGGTGGTTGGTTTGGTTTGTTTGCACTGTGTTATGTTTTAGTATTGCACTGCGTTTATGTTTGTATTGTTAGTGTTAATAAATTACATTGTTTATAACATATCTGAAGTCTGCGTTTCCCTGCGTCAGTCACACACCTCTGGTCATACCCGGGAGCCCTGACATTACACCAAGGCCAATCCTGACCAGAAGTGGCTGCACAGGGAAGCCATCTTGGCTAGTTGCTGGGAAAGATGGATCTTGATGAGGTTGTGTATTTATATCTGCTAGTGTTTGATGACAGAGAGTATGCTTATAAAACTCTGAAGGAGTATCCCAGGGATGAACTGCTAGAATGTATATGGCTCGCTCATGTTCTAGTAGATCAGGGCACAGAATTCTCTGAGGTGCAGCCATTGATTCAGATTTGTGCTGAGTTGGTTTCATCTGGTACCCCCCGAATGCAGGGATGAATTTTTGCCGCCATTTAGTGCCGACCAGGTAGAGTCCCTGGTGTGGTTATTAGAGGATGATGTGGATTACTTTCTGGAGCGTTATTCTGCATGTTCACCACAGGTACTAAGAGATTGTATAAACGCAGTGCAGTCTTTGGTCAGACAGGCTTTGTGTAAGCTCAGCTTTGTTCAACCCATACTGCAGACATGGACAGATTTGTTGCACCCAGCCTCAGTCAGCCTACAAAAACCCAGACCTGCTTCTAATCTATTTCCTCAAAGCTCTATTCCTGCATTCCCCAACAGCTCCTCCTGCCCTGCTATCTACCGCATGTCAGTACCCTGTTCCCACTCGCTGCACCTATCCTGCCTTTAACCCTGTAAGAAAGCCCTCAGTAGCAACTGTTCCCTTCCCTGTTCCATCTTCCAGCTCTTCTCTGTCTCCAGCTGCTCCATTCATTTGCAGACCTGCGTTTACTTGCAGTGCTCCAGTAGTTAAAACCAGAAAAAAGCGAAAATTCTTTCCAACCAATACCATCCTGCCAGTATCCAAACCGGTGAGCCTGCCGTCTGAGAACCTGCCTTCCGTGGTTCAGCCTGAAGCCTCTACTCAGCCTGAAGCCTGTACCCAGCCTGATGCCTGTACGCAGCCTGATGCCTGTACTCAGCCTGATGCCTGTACTCAGCCTGATGCCTGTATGCAGCCTGATGCCTGCACCCAGCCTGGTGCCTCTATTCAGCCTGATGCCTCTACTCAGCCTGATGCCTCCATTCAGCCTGATGCCTCTCGTTTGCAGACCTGCGTTTACTTGCAGTGCTCCAGTAGTTAAAACCAGAAAAAAGCGAAAAATTCTTTCCAACCAATACCATCCTGCCAGTATCCAAACCGGTGAACTTGCCTTCCGTGGTTCAGCCTGAAGCCTCTACTCAGCCTGAATCCTCTACTCAGCCTGATGCCTCTACTCAGCCTGATGCCTCTACTCAGCCTGATGCCTCTACTCAGCCTGATGCCTCTACTCAGCCTGATGCCTCTACTCAGCCTGATGCCTCTACTCAGCCGGATGCCTCCATTCAGCCGGATGCCTCTACCCAGCATAATGAACTGATCCAGCCTGACGATCCTATTAGGCCAGTTGACTCGATGCCCGCTGTTGATCCAGACGATCCGGTACCGTACCTGATCCGGTGCCCGCTGTCGTGCCAGTTGACTCAGAGCCCGCTGTCGTGCCTGGTGACTCGGTGCCCACTGCCTTGCCAGATGACGCGGTGCCCGCTGGCAAGCCAAATGACCTGATGCCTGGTGACCCAGTGCCCGCTGTCATACCTGGTGACCTGATGCCCGCTGTCGAGCCAGACAATCCGGTACCTGATGACCCGGTGCCCGCTGTCGTGCCAATTGAGTCAGAGCCCACTGTCGTGCCTGGTGACTTGGTACCTACTGTCTTGCCAGATGACGCGGTGCCCGCTGTTGAGCCAAATGACCTGATGCCTGGTGACCCGATGCCCGCTGTCCAGCCAGACGATCCAATGTCTGACCCAGTGCCCGCGGTCATACCAGTTGGACTCGGAGCCCACTGCCTTGCCAAATGACGCGGTGCCCGCTGTCGAGCCAAATGACCTGATGCCTGGTGACCCGATGCCCGCTGTCCAGCCAGACGATCCAATGTCTGACCCAGTGCCCGCGGTCATACCAGTTGACTCGGAGCCCACTGCCTTGCCAAATGACGCGGTGCCGCTGTCGAGCCAAATGACCTGATGCCTGGTGACCCGATGCCCGCTGTCCAGCCAGACGATCCAATGTCTGACCCAGTGCCCGCGGTCATGCCAGTTGACTCGAAGCCCACTGCCTTGCCAGATGACGCGGTGCCCGCTGTCGAGCCAAGTGACCTGACGCCTGGTGACCCGATGCCCGCTGTCCAGCCAGACGATCCATTGTCTGACCCAGTGCCGGCGGTCATGCCAGTTGACTCGGAGCCCACTGTCGTACCTGGTGACCCGGTGTCTGTCGCTCCGCCTGGGGGTCCGGCGCCCGCCGCTCCGCCCTGGGGGCCCGAGACCTGTCGCTCCGCCTGGGGGTCCGGCGCCCGCCGCTCCGCCTGGGGGCCCGAGGACCTGTCGCTCCGCCTGGGGAGTCCGGCACCTCGCGCTCCGCCTGGGGGCCCGAGACCTGTCGCTCCGCCTGGGGGTCCGGCGCCCGCCGCTCCGCCTGGGGGCCCGATGCCTGTCGCCCCGCCTGGGGGCCCGATGCCTGTCGCCCCAGCCTGGGGGCCCGATGCCTGTCGCCCGTTGGGGACCCGGCGCCCGCCGCTCCGCCTGGGGGCCCGATGCCTGTCGCCCCGCCTGGGGGCCCGATGCCTGTCGCCCCGTCTGGGGGCCCGATGCCTGTCGCCCCGTTCTGGGGACCGGCGCCCGCCGCTCCGCCTGGGGGCCGATGCCTGTCGCACCCCGCCTGGTGGCCCGCTGCCTGCTGCTTCGCCTGGTGATCGATGTGCCTCTGCCCGGAGTCCTGCCCGATGTGCCTCTGCCCGGAGTCCTGCCCCGATGTGCCTCTGCACCGGAGTGCCGCTCCAGCCCGATGTGCCGCTGCTGCCCGGAGTCCAGCCCGATGTGCCTCTGGCCCACCGGAGTCCAGCCGATGTTGCCTCTGCCCGGAGTCTAGCCCGATGTGCCGCTGCCACGGAGTCCAGCCCGATGTGCCGCTCTGCCCCGGAGTCCAGCCGATGTGCCGCTGCCCACGGAGTCCAGCCCGATGTTGCCTCTGCCCGGAGTCCAGCCCGATGTGCCTCTGCCCGGAAGTCCAGCCCGATGTGCCTCCTCTGCATGCCGGGAGTCCAGCCCGATGTTGCCTCTGCCCGGAGTTCCAGCCCGATGTGCCTCTGCCCGGAGTCCAGCCCGATGTGCCTCTGCCGGTGAGTCCAGCACCGATGTGCCTCTGCCCGGAGTCCAGCCCGATGTGCCTCTCTGCCCGGATTCCAGCCCGATGTGCCTCGCTGCCCGGAGTCCAGCCCGATGTGCCTCTGCCCGGAGTGACTCTGCCCGGTGTGCCCCTGCCCGGTGTGCCGCTGCCCGGAGTCCTGACCCACGGGTTGTGGCTGTGCCAGTCTTTGATATCCTGCCAGTTTACCAGACCCGGGCGGGTGGAACATTTTGCCCAGCTAGGACTGTGTGGAGCGTCCTGAGGCTGCTCCTTGAGGGGGGGGGGGTGGTACTGTCAGAAATGGACTGGCCAGCAATAGTGGGACTCACCTGCCTTATGAGCTGCAGTACCAGGGCTGGCCAGCGGGTGCTCCCAGCAATCAGAGACTCAACCTTGCAGCAGTCAAACACCTGGCAACTGGATTATACTGGTGTATTTAAGGGATGGCCAGACCTGCAGATCTCTGCCTTGGTGTGTTGTTTTTTCTGGGCCCTGTATCCTGTTCCTGCACATCCTGTTCCTGTCTTGTCGCTTGACCCTGCCTGATCTGACCTCTGCTGACTTCTCCTGCCTCTGACCCGGCTCATTCCTGACCATCCCTCTGCCTGACCCTCTGTACCACTCTGCCTGCTACTGCTGAACCTGGCTTGTTTTTTCTTTCTTTTCAACATACTGTCACCAGTGCAGTACAGCATCATCATATAACTGCTGTGGCGGTGATCAGGGACTTTTCAACTTTTTTTTTCTTTTTCTTTTTCTTCCATACTGTGACCAAAGCAATACAGTGGTACCATAGTAACACTGTACTACTTTGGGGAGGTGATCAGGATTTTTTAAACTTTTTTATTTGCAAGCTTTGATTGCTTATATGATTGTTATAAGCAACCATTTTTTATTAATGGAATCCATCCAGTGTGCACTATTGTAATCAGCTGAGATTGGTCACAGCCAAACATGTGGTACAGATGGGCTGTAATTGGCCCTGTCTGTACCATGTGATCACTGTGACCAATTACAGAGATCAAAAACAATAGTACACAATAAATGGATTTGAGCGGAAGCCATTCATTGTGTATAATTGCCATGTGATCTGTTGTGATTGGTCGCAGCGATCACATGGTACCGGCAGTGACCTGGTACACTAATCTCTCAACCTCTGGGTATGGTGGACTCAGTGGGTGACACATCGTGGTGCAGAGAGGCTAGTGGGGTGCGATCTTAGGGAGATGACCTTTGAGACCATAAGCTTGAATGATGGTCTGCCTGAGTCACCATGAGATGGTAGAATGAGAAGCCAGTGCACTCTTACAGGGTCCTTCCAGGAGTACGAAAAAAGAAATCAGTTTTCCACGAAAAAGCAGTAGATGACAGTCTATGTCTGGAAATATGGAAACTACCATAGGCCAGACAGAAGTCCTGGGCATCAACACTTCTAGAAAACCAAAAAAGGGTTCCTTGAAAGGTAAGGTGGAAAGCTCAGTCACTCACCTTGCAGAGATGATGGCTACAAAAATACCACCTTGTAGGAGACAGTACAAAGAGAATGTGTCAGGAATGGACTGGCCAGCAATAGTGGGACTCACCTGCCTTATGAGCTGCAGTACCAGGGGCTGGCCAGCGGGTGCTCCAGCAATCAGAGACTCAACCTTGCAGCCAGTCAAACACCTGGAAACTGATTATACTGGTGTATTTAAGGGATGGCAGACCTGCAGACTCTGCCTTGGTGTGTGTTTTTCCTGGGCCCCGTATCCTGTTCCTGCATCCCTGTTCCTGTTCCTGTCTTGTCGCTGACCCTGCTGATCTGACCTCTGCTGACTTCTCCTGCTCTGACCCCGGCTTGTTCCTGACCATCCCTCTGCCTGACCCTCTGTACCACTCTGCCCGCTACCTGCTGAACCTGGCTTGTGACCCCGACATTCTCCGCTTGCCCCCTGTACCTAGCTGCCCGATTGATATTGACCAGCCTGCCTGACGACGCTTGCATTGTATGTACTGTCATCTGTGGGTGGTTGGTTTGGTTTGTTTGCACTGTGTTATGTTTTAGTATTGCACTGCGTTTATGTTTGTATTGTTAGTGTTAATAAATTACATTGTTTATACATATCTGAGTCTGCGTTTCCCTGCGTCAGTCACACACCTCTGGTCATACCCTGGGAGCCCTGACAGAATGTCTAATGGGTTCAAGCAGCAATTTCTGAAGTGCATAGAGAATCAGATTCAGATCTCATGGGTAAACAGGATAAAAGAAGAGAGGAGCTACATGAAGACTCCCTGTAAAAAAAGGCCTTAATCAAAGAGTAAGAGGCAAACTGACTACGAAATAGAATAGAAAGGGAAAAAAAACCTGACCATTGATAATAATGAAAGCATACACTGGTGCAGACCCAGCTGCAGGAAAGGGAGAATTCATCCTACAGAAAAAGCCAGCGACCATGAAGCAGGATGGCAAAATCCGTCCATAGAAGAGATGATCCTAATGATACGTTAGAGCCAAGAAGCCCTCTGCTAGGTGTTTTACCAGGTCAGCACACCACATCGTCTAGGCTTGCCTGAACCAATAAAGATAAATGAAATGCCCTCCAACGCGATCCTGGGAAGCAGATGAGGAAGAGGTTTAAGAGGAAGAATAGATCATGGTGTACTGATCTCACTGAGCCCACCAGAGTGCATCCTCTGCTTCCACCAGAGGATTTCTGCAACTGGAGACCAACCTGTCCAGTTTGATGTTGAACTTGTGGACTAGGTGGTCCACATCCATGGTCTCTCAAGTGATATTTGAATATACAAACCATTATTTTACTCTTTGTCACAGTAAACACTTAAGGTTCCCCCCGATGACTAATATACACCAACACCATGCAACTGTCAACTTGATTTGCATCAGATAACCCTTCAATGTACAGTCAGACAAACTGACGTTCTAGACTGTTTTCTGGGAGAGACAAGATTCAACAAGTCCCCTGTACTGACAAGAGTGCCCGGGACTCCTCCCCAGCCTGAGAGGATGACACCCTGTTATGGGGATCCAGCAAAAGAACGGGACAGAAGGAATTTCCCCATTTCAGGGCCAGATTTCTGAACCACCAGTTCAGGGACAACATGTTCCTCAGTGACAAGTCGGTATGACCAAATAACCAGATTGACTTTTTCCACTGCAACAGAATGTTGTGTTTAGGGGTCTGCAGTGAAACTGGGCAAATAGTACAATCTCAAAAGAGGCTACATTAGACCTAGGACTCTCATATACAGGTGAAAACTCGAAAAATTAGAATATCGTGCAAAAGTTCATTTATTTAAAGTAATGCAACTTAAAAAGGTGAAATATATAAGATTGACTCATTACATGCAAAGCAAGATAGTTCAAGCGTGATTTGTCATAATTGTGATGATTATGGCTTACAGCTCATGAAAACCCCAAATCCACAATCTCAGAAAATTAGACACGGATTGTACATAGAACAATATACGGACCTCTGAAAAGTATAAGCATGCATCATGTACTCAGTACTTGGTTTGGGCCCCCTTTGTGCCCGCAATTACTACTTCAATGCGGCGTGGCATATGGACGCTATCAGGCCTGTGGCACTGCTGAGGTGTTATGGAAGACCAGGATGCTTCAATAGCGGCCATCAGCTCTTCTGCATTGTTCAATCTTCATGTCTCTCATCTTTCTCTTGGCAATGCCCCATAGATT